TTTGTCCATCGCCGTGGATGTGGCGATTCTGCAACAGCGGATCGCAGCGATGAATGTGTCGGCCATGATCTACGCACGGACAAGTTCCAACACGTCGCTGCCGCTGACGCTGCGTGTGCTCAACCTTCTCGACGACCGCGAACGAAGCTTTCGCTTCTTTGCGTGGCTCTTCTTTTACGACTGGGTCTTTGGCGTCCGCGAAGTCATTTCATTCCAAGGCGATAACGGCAGCTTGTCGCTCATGGGCGATCTCGCGACGCCGCTCTCTCAAGCCACGCAAGCATGGGAGGTCCCCGCCAACATTGCCCAGTATTTACGAGCGGGTGTTCTCTACGTCACGGGCGTCATGATTGCAGTTGCAGGCCTCGCATTCGTCTACATCATAGCTGGTCGCGGTCATTTCGAAGGCCTCAACATGCTCGAGCTCGGCCGTGTCGGCGGGATCGTCTGGGTCGGAAGGCCGTTCTTGCTGCTCCGGAGCATGACGGCCATCGTCGTCTTGTCGACCGCGACGCTGCAGCTGCAGACGTCAGGCTATCTGAGCTACTTTGCCACCGTCCGAGATCCATGGTACAAGACGCTACTGGCGGCCAATGAGGTCACGTGGCTCATCACGATCGTCAACGACATCTTTCTCGTCGTGACGGGCGACTATGCGTCCTACTACGTCACTCCCAACGGCTTTGTCGTCTGGGTCTTCGCCTCCGCCGTCACGGTCGCCGCGCCCGTGACGCCGGCCACGACCATTGACTTGCGCTGTCGACACGAGCAAGTCGACTCGCACGCGGTGTGTACGGCCGGCAACATTGCCATCGGTAGCGCGCACCGCATGCTCGTGTTGGCGTCGGCTGTGCTTCTCTCGCAGGTGCTCTCGTTTGCAACCGCCCGGCTCTGTGTCCGCGTCGCGCCTTCAAATCCCGTCACGTCGCTCTTCTTGTCGTCGGGCGCCAAGTTTCTCTTTGTGCCGGGACCGTGGATGGACGACGATGTCTACTACGTCGACCGCGCCTCTGCCGTCTTGGACGGCCTTTTGACGTGGCGACTCAGTGCCATGCGCCTCGTTGTCCTCGACGTCAAGAGTTGGCGCGTCTTTCTGCTGCCCGCCACGTCCATGCACCCGGTAAGCCCCGCGTTCGCCGCGGCCGTCCCGCTCATCAACGACGTCTAGTCGTCTAGTCTAGTTAGTTAAGACTTGTTGACTCCTATGTGTTTTCTCATTGCACAAGTGTCCACCTTTCTGAGTTGACGATGCTTAGTGGAGCGATTATGAACCAATACGTCGCAAAGGTCCTATGCAATGTAGAAAGACACCCGCTGCATCGACAACGAGATACGTAGTCGGATTTTGAGGGCTCGACCTTGTCGTTGGCGCGAGTCTGCCGACGTGTGGGCCGTACAATCAATCAATCAATCAATCAATCAAACGTGTTCGTGTTGAAATCAAATTTGCAAAAACGAACTCAATGACTGCGCTTACGTCGTGCTGCGCCTGAATGCGTGGGACTTGGCGCCAGTATTTTTTGGTCGTTGCGAGTGAGCTGCGCACGGAGAGGCCCATCCCGTGTGGGCCGTATTAGTAGGAAATGCTTTCTCTGACGTTGCTAGCATGTCGTCGTTCAGACGTTGGCCTGTGTTCAGACGTTGGCTCGACGCCTTGTCGCTTGCTTTTGCGGTTGTCGCTAGGTGGTCAAGCCACAGCGCGCCCCGTCACGGCGAGACGCTGCGTGGATCAGGCGACGTAGACATCCCGCAGTGTCACCGCCATGTCGCTGGTGTATAGCCTGTGCATGATATCGTTGCACCTCAAATGGCATCTCAGGATCCGAATGAACGGCAGCTTCATGATGCAAGTCCGTAGCATCGCCATGACGAAAGGACTCGCTTCGTAGGTGATGCGGCGCGTTGGCACTAGACATATAGGATCGGGCAGCCCGACGGGGAACAAAGCCCTTGGCGAGCAGAGTAGGGTTGAGAGACCAGTACGCACTGCATATGTCGTCATTGGTACAGCGAGTACTGTCTGCGGAAACCGCGTCGGCGACGACACGGCGTGATCCTTGCGTGCAGCCACATCATACTAACAGCAGCAATGCACCACGGTGTCTTGCAGCGCTGGCGGCCGCTGCGCAGGTCCCGTCAGCAAGTCGTTCGATGCAAGCGCATGGGCGTTGGCATCTACCACTAGTACATGGAGTCATCGTGTTGATAGTCGAGTCCTCGGCAACGTACGCAGTCTCCTGTCGCCGACGTTCACCGGAAGAGCGATATGTACTCTTCGGGAATGTCGTCCGAGTAGAGCTCCTGCGCGTACATGCGCTCCTTCTGCGCTGTCTGGGCCTTGGCCGCCTTGCGCTGCCGCTTCTCGGCTGGCGTCCGCTTTGGCGGCTGCACGATCGGCTGCGGCGGCTTCTCGATGTGGGTCACGCGGTACGTGAGCGGCGCTGCGCCCAAGCCAGCGCGGTCGCGCTTCAAGCACGTGGCGACAGGGGCGGTCCGGCCTTGCTTCTCATTGCCGAGGCCCTCGCCAGCCTTCCAGCCCATCGTCTCGAGGAGGCGGTAGCCCACATTCGATGGCGCGATCTCGTGCTCGTCGGCCCTCGCCCGCTTGGTCCCGCGCGCTGCGCTGCGGAGCTCGGCCGTCGTGGCCACCTTGGCCTCCATATCGGCAACGTCCAAATGGCCCGACCAAGGTTAAATCGGAACGGTTTATTGCACGTTTTTCGATTCACACATGCGTGTGAAATGTGTAAAACACGACGGGCAGTGTCAACACAAGAGCTTTGACCTTCTAAAAACCACGACGCACACGTTTTACACGTCCGTACTTCGGCCTGTGTGTTTGACCCCGACGCCAAACCAGCGTTAAAATTAGCGTTAAACGAGTCGACCTTCATCATGCCAGTTCTCGTAGCTCCCTCTCGCTTGATACGGAAGAAAGTATGCACATCCTAAGGACAGGACACTAAAACCTCATGCAAAATCGCAAGTCAATATATCTGCGACTTAGGGAATAAACTGATACCACGCATCATCGTCCTGAAGAGCGCGCCAGTCGTCGACGTGGATCATTTCGTATGTTTGCGCGCCGTACAAAATCCAGTCATGGAACTTGCGGTGTCGGATCCAGCCTTCGAACAGGCCGTGGAGATCAAAGTCCCAGTGCTGGTTGCTGTTCTGGACATTGCAGGGATACCCGTGCACCTTCGGCTTCCCAGCTTCGTTGTCCCAGTAGGCGTCGAGGCACAAGTCCGTATCGACGTGCCGCAGCATATCGAACTTGTCGGACCCGGGCGACTGGTAGACTTGCCACGCTTTCGAACCGCCGCAGTCGCGGCAATTGGTCGCGACGGCCGACCCACTCATGGTGGTCCATAAGTCTGTCAACGTCCAAAGGGCCATCCACTTGCCGTCGTCTAGGTACCAGTAACGCCAGCCGCGCTGAATGCCCCACTGCCGCGTCGGAAACTGGTTCTTCAGCGTCGCCGTCTCCGTCGTGTTGTCTTTGGGCAGCGTCGCGTTCTTGGTCGGGAGCGGCGCGCCTTGCACGACGGTGGCGGCGAGAGCAAGCACGACCGAGATGTGGAGACCCATGGCACTGTCACGTTGCGACGAAAGTGTCAAATGAGCCGACTCCACGAGCGCAAGAGCTCGACCTGGGCAGAGGCGTCTTTTGCAAAGCACCCCGCCTGTCGCGCGCCACGACTAGAACGTACAGAGTCGAGTCGACCAGATTACGTGGCATCGCTACAGCTCATCTCTCGACCCATCTCGACCGTACGATCTGACTCGCTGCTGCGACGAGACAAACATCTGGATGGTGCAATGTCAAAAAAGGGTGAACGTGCGCCCAAATCAACCCAAAACAGGGTAAATTGCAAACAATACATCAACTTGGTTTTTCTATGCAATGGCACGCTATGGCGTCTTCGCGTACCCCTCTCCTCCTACGCCTCCATACCCGCAAACAAGACATGTCCAGGCATCCTTTAACCTTCCTCAACACCTCACATCACCCCACCTCCCGTCCGCTGCGGCGACTATGTCAAACAACCCCAAATACCCTGGTGGGAACTTGAGTGAATGGATATTTTTTCTCCAAATTCCAGTTTTGACCCAGCTTTTCCTAAACACACCCCGTTTTGTCATTTTCCTATCTGGGTAGTTTTCTTGGCGTTGATTTTGAGAGGAGGTACTGGCAGGACAAGATGCGCGTCGTCCGATGTCCCCGTCGCTGCGTGATGCTACGGCGTTCCAACACGTGACACGCCATGACAGTCGACGGCGCGGACGACGACACTGCTGTATCTTTGGGGCCAAGCCACCACGACCAATGTCTTTTTCTACTACGGTTTTAGACAGGAACAGGAAGCTGGACTCGTCCACCATGCGTCGAAGCGCTCACCAGTGAGGTACCGGTATGTCTTGACCGACGCCAATTGTCTGGCATTTCATCAATACGCGCACTTGTAATCATATTCCAGTTTATTGTATCGATACAAGAAACTGGAATATGATTAGAGCCATCCAACCATCAAAGCGTCTCGATTCGAGACGCTTTGATGGTTGGGTGGTTGGATCGCTACGGCAGTTCCGCCCTTGTAACTAACGTTAACGAAGTGCGATGGAGCGCTTCACTCGCCGACACGGTTTTTTGGAGTTGAAAAGCCGCGACGGCAGCGACGTGCGAGAAAGAAACGGTCCACAGCATCGGTCCGCAGCATCCACACGTGACGGTACGCAAACCAGACCAGATGGGAAGACGTGTCGTCGCCACCTCAAGCAATTTTGATTTTTCAGCCAATCATTTCAATTGCCCCATTTCACTTGGCGAGTCGTTGTTGAAATTACATGCAATTACAAAGATGTGGTGGACTTTTGAATGCGCTCATGAGGCGTGGCCGGTGCGTCAAGCGATGGCACCACATCGTGACGAGCCAAGTGCTGGACATGCAGTCGTGCAATTGTAGCTGCCTGGATCGCGAGCGCAGCAGCGGGGAGTTGCGTCAGCGTCGTGCGGAAGACACGGTTGTTGCGATCGAGCCAAAGACAATCACACCAGACGCAAGCGCGTAAGATCGGCCAGAGGGCATGCATGGTTGACGTGTGGGCCGATTGCGGCGGTGCAAAAGCGCACCAAATCGCGCAGACGTATGGGCACCGCACCAAAAGATGGTCGTACGTTTCGCGGGCTTGCGCATCGCAGAGAAAGCAGTGTCGAGCATCGTGGCCGAGAAAGTGCAAGCTGGCTCGGACGGCCACGGCTTTCAGCGCGACCCGGTTCACAAAGTCACCGTATCGCTAAAGGACGTGGGCTGGCTGCCGTAGAGATACAAACGAGACTGCTCGGCCCGGTTGCTCGTAAAAGGTCTCGGGGACGCCAAGGTGTGTCACTGAGCCAGTCAAATTTCGGACGCTGTCGGTAGCCGGTCAGTCGCCGCTAGAACGACTGGGGGTCCGAACTTGACAAACCATGGCGGGGCACTGGTTGGGCGCACGGCATGATTAGCAGGCGAAATGAGCGGGAAGCAGCGGACAAGAGCAGTCACGTAACGTGGAAAATTGTCTGTGGTGATTCAGGTAGCCGCCTTTGTGATGTTGTTATCCGAGATCGCGCCGTCGAAACTCGTTCCACCTCGGCTCTGTGCAGGTTAAACCACAACGTTTTATCCAATCCACACAAGGTCCCGTGTTAAAAAGGTGCATATGGAGTGGTTTTTCAGGTGTCAAATGTTTTTCACACGTTCAACCCATAAAACGCACTTCGAAAAACTCGTTGAACTTGGACTCAAAGTGCAATTTCGAAAAATGGCCAAGCCCGACCACGCCGAGACCGAGACCGAGCTCCTCGGGCGCTACGAGCGCCGGCTCGTCGAGAAGTACCGCTTCGCGCTCGTCGACATCATCGACGACCTCTGCTCGCTGCTCAACCTCTTCCGCGTCGCAACCGGCGAGCTCGACGTACTCGAGCCGCTCGCGGCCAAGAAGCTCGCGCAGCTCTGTCCGTTCCTGCGCACGGCGCGCGACAAGATTGCGCTCCTCACGCAGGCGACGCCACTCTTCCTCGGCTACGACGACGTCCTGAGCTACAGCAAGCTGCTCGAAACGGAGATCAAGGCGCTGGACCCGCGGCCACAGCCGTGGAACGCGCTGCGCGTCTACGACAAGGAGTTCCAAGGTAGTACAATGCATGCATGTGCATGGCTCTCATGGCGCCGTAGAGCACTTTGCGGTGCGCATCGACAAGCTCGCAGCGCTGTACCTCAAGCTTGCGGCGCATGTGCCGACGCTGCGCCAGGACATGGAGACCCAAGCGAGCGTTTTGCGCATCCTCACACGCAAGCGCAACGACCTCGTGGCCTTGCTGCGCGAGAGCATGGCGACGACGCACTTGCCAGCAAACGCCAAGAAGCACAAGTCGGAGCTCAAGCAATGGTACCAGCGCAGC